CCTGAATCAAAACCTCAGATCTGAACCACTCCAACCTTTAGCTCAGATCCACAACTGAAATTTGGTTTTCAGCGACTGATCCTGGTGCAGGATAAAGCTTAACACAGTCAACACTCCATGTGAAGACATACCCAAATGATGCACATATTTTTAGTCCTGTAAAAATAAGCTACATCGCACCTCCACAAGAAAGTCAACATAATTAAATTAGCACAGCTACCCCATACAATATACTTAATGATATTTAGGGTAGATGCAAGTTTATTTATTAGCCAAGCTACATACTGTAGCTTGTAAAAGACTGTGGCTTGCTTTGATTCTTTAGTGGGTTTAACTGAGACCACATGAAAGGACCCTGTATCTTCTACAGCTCTTTACATTTGCAAAATGTAAGGCTGTATGCCTCAAGGCATAGAGCCAAGCACCACGTGCCAACACAAGAAGTGATGCCAATGTATTACATAAAAAGCTACTTCTCTTCTAATATTGCAATGAATATTTTAAATAGGAATCCCTCTTCTGAAGTCATTCACTGGTAAAAAGGAAACATGTGCAACCATAAATTACTAGTATTGTGGTTTCATGCTGTTAGCAAATAATCATCTTTGTGGTTAAGCATCTATAAAATGAGGAAATTCAATACCCCTGAGTGGAAGATCTAGAACTGAGACTGAAAGAAACAAAAGACAAAGATTTCTACAAAACTCTCCATATAAACTATTGGCCCTGATTCTCCTCTCACTCGCGTAGTTAAAATCAAAAGCAACTTTGCTGACAACAGTGGAGTTGAATCATTTTAAAACTGGTGTAAATGAGAGGATCAGCCCCATAAATGTGTTTTTTTTTTTTTTTTTTGGAAGGGGGAAAGAAAGGGGAGGAGAATTTTGATCCGATGGTACCAAAAAGAGTGAAAGCAATGCTTTGGAAATCTAAACTGAACTTTTACAGGACCAGCACTATTGTGTTGGAAACAAACATAACTGTTGATGTTTGCTATTACTAAAGAGCCTTAAGAGATGGCTCCAGGCGTTAAGCATTAAACTGCATGACAGAATGCATAAATTCCACCCTCCCAATCACAGAGAAACCGCTGAGCAATTAACACATGTAGAGAGATGTCCTGGGGACTAAAGGCACGATTTCCAGATGTGACTACTGATTTGGGGTGCCTCAATTCTGAGATTCCCAACTTGCGACACCGTAAATGGGACTGATTTTCATAGTATTCTGAGCATCAGCCCTCTGAAAATCAGGTCCCTTTAAGGAATTTTAAATTGGGCACCCTAAAATGGAGGCATCCAGAAATCACTAGCCCCTTTTGAAAATCTTGGCCAAAAATATATATTTACACAGAAATATAGGACACACGAGATTAATCTGTGTAACACAGAGAGAGAAACATCTCATATCCTAATTAAAAGTAAGTGATATACAATTTTTTTTTAAATATCCTTGCCAACAAAAAAAAGTAAAATGCCTTGAACATTTTTGTTACCTTGTTAGGTAACCCCCCTATTAAAGTGCATAATAAGCCTGTCGCCCTGATCCAAAGCCCCTTGCAGTAAGTGGAAAGATTCCCATTGATCTCAATGAGCTCTGGACAAGGCCCTGTGGGAGTTCAGAAGCCTTGGCACACAGGCTGCAATAAAGGAAAGAATCCATGTTTATTTTGTTTTACTCCACCAGGGTTTTGTTTTGAAAAGTGATAGGAAATACTCATCTAAAGTAAGGAAATTGGGCACACAAGGGTCCAAGTAGAAGAGTTTTTGAATGCCACACCAAACAGCACTTTGGGAGTGACTGTTCGATGCTCTGAAAGAGACCTAGGGAAATAAATATTCTTAAATCTGCTTAATAGAGAGCATATTGACAAAAGTTGTACAAAGGTAGCTGAGAGGCAATTGGGAGGGTGATGTACCCTATTCAAGGATGGTGCAACGTCTATTCTATGGTGAGCTACCTGGGAGCCCCCAAAAGAATTTGCTGAGCTGACCAGCAGGATTCCTTTAGGGGACTGCAGAAGCTGTGCAGCCTCTTTCCCACTCCTCTGGAAACTTGAAATTTTGAGCAAGACAAAATGAAAGAACGGATAAAAATAAATGGAATTTTCATATTAGCAAAGAAAAATGTGTTTTCAAGTAGCAAAACGTTTCAGTCATTGAAGCAGGCTGGAGGAAGAGCCACAGGATCAATGACTGCATGGATCCAGTGATTTCAACAGGGTGCACAAGTGGCACTGAAACCTTTGACTGCCGATCCAGCTTAGAGGGTAAAATAGCAGCCACAGTAGAGGTAGGCAGGAGAGCAGCTCTGAGCCCTAGGTAGTGACATGGATTTTGCCTCTCCAAATCCATGTACGAGTTTCACGCCTTACCCCTTCCACTGGGGGGGACGGGGAGGGAGAGGACTATTAAATTGCACAAATTACTCCACCTCTTTACAAAATGCCGTCTTATTTACCTCGCTTGGCTGAGATTTAGTATACACAGAGACAGGTTGGAGTTCTGCTAGAGGCTTCAATGGGAGCAGGTATTGGGCTTCCACCCCAGCCTTACTTAATACCAGGCACTAATCCAAGCAGCAACATATTAAATCTTTTTTGTTTGTTTTTTAAAGAGGGACCAATAAAGATGCATAGCCCTCCTTCTGTGCCTATACTCCCCTTCCCTCCAGCCTTTGTCTAATGGCATTGCTTGCTGCATTATGTCCAATACTGACATTGTAAGCTCCCAGGTCTACCACTTTTACTTGTCTATTAAGCACCATGCACACTATAAAATAACAACAAGAAGAGATTATTATTATGTAAAAGAATAAGAAAAGTTGGCAAAACTCACACTGAAATCATTAATGCTTGGTACCTATAAGTAGGTCAGACAGGAGCAGGGGAAAAAATACCGAGTCAAGATATTGCCTACATACCCTTAAGCCTCGTCCCATGTCTAGCATTATACTGCAGTGAAAAAAAGCTTTCTAAGCAAAGAAGCAGCCCAAGGCAGAATGACCTAGAAAGACATCTGGAAACTACTGTCCCCTGCCTAAGCTGGACAGAGAAGACTATTATAAGTCTAGATGTTTCAAGTCCTTGCTATGCAATAAACCATCCAGTAATAGCATCTACTCTAGTGTAATTAAAGTGTTACTGAAATACATTTGGGGCAATAAAAATCAGAGCTAATGTCAAAATAGCAATTTAATATGAAGGAATATTTAAAGCAGTATATACTATGGTACATAAGAACGGCTACACTGGGTCAGACCAATGGACCATCTAGCCCAGTGTCCAGTCTTCTGACAGGGGCCAGTGCCACATGATTCCAAGCGAATGAACAGAACAGGGCAATTATCGAGTGATCCATCCCCTCTCATCCAGTCCCAACATCTGACAGTTACAGGCTTAGGGACTCCCAGCACATGGGATTGCATCCCTGACCATCTTGGCTAATAGACATTGATGGCCCTAGCCTATAGGCTGTTAATATCACCCTACTTTAGTATAGAATGCATTGTACATAAGAGAAAGTTACTTTACCATCTCTTCTGCTACAGATCTAAACTAATCTATCAACTAGATATTTGTACTCAGCTGAAAATACATAACACCGTATTCAAATATAAATGAATTATTTACATTGACTGAGGCTAGGTCTACACTACAGCGGGGGGTCGACCTAAGATACGCAACTTCAGCTACGTGAATAGCGTAGCTGAAGTGGCGTATTTTAGGTCGACTTACCTGGCTGTGAGGACGGCGGCAAGTCGACCACTGCCGCGCCGCCGTCGACTCCGCTACCGCCTCTTGCCGCGGTGGATTTCTGGAGTCGACGGTAGAGCCATCAGGGATCGATTTTATCGCGTCTTCACTAGACGCGGTAAGTCGATCCCCGATAGACCGATTGCTACCCACCGGATCGGCGGGTAGTGAAGACGTGCCCTGAGAAACTATATCTGTCTCACCCAATCTTGAGATTTGCTTCTTGCAATGGATGCCATCACTGTAATAGACTTTTCCAAATAGCAGGCCACATCCTCAACTAGTCCAATCAACTTGATGTCAATGAACTTATGTCAGTTTATGCCACTGAGCCCACTTCTGCAGTCTTTCCTCTGGCAAAATTCCCATAGGAGTCAATTCAAAGATTTGCCAGAGTAAAATCTGCAGGATCTGGTCAAGTGTCCTTAATTATAATGGTCGATTCCATGCTAGCTGCCGTTGTTATTCTGGAACCTGACATCACACTGGCCATAAAAGATTGTTCCACAGTGTGGGCTAATTTAATAAGAACTAGCATTTATATAGTGCTTTGCATCTTGCAGGCACTGTGCAAATATTACTAATGAATCCTATTAGTTTTTATTTCTGTCAACTTCAATACAGGGAGAACAATCAAAAGATATTTAATATTTAAATGAAATGGGTCTGATTCTGGTCTTTTCACACTTACAACGGGGTAAATCAGTCATAATAAGAAGACGAAATAGGCCCATACTCTCCAACTGTTCCATCTCACTGGTTCTACATCACTGGTAAACTTCACAACAAATCACAAACATAGTAGAAGACTGAAAAAAGAACTTACTTATGGACTAAACTAAAAGAAACTGACGCAATGTCTTTGTTTAAGTTTATTTCACCAAACAGACAAAATGAAAGTTTGTGTCTAATTCCACATAAAGATTTTCAGTGCTATTTTGTTTATATTTGAATGAGCAAAATAGAATGGATTTTTTATTATTATTATTATTATTTTCCACTAATGGAAGTTAGAAAATAGGTTCCTATTATCATTTTCTCAACAGTAGACAAAATTAAATACACATAAAGTGCTGAGAGACATAACAATCACATCACTTTATATTCACAGGTAGCCTCTTACGTGAACCAGAAGCTCTTATTCAAGGAATTTTCACTGTGAATGAGAGAGAACACTCACTCACCAAAACTAAATAAATAGGAAACTACTTAAAATGCAATAACTCAAAATAAATGGATTTCTTACCATTGTGAGCGTAAATGGATGGCTTTCTAATGCTGACACTCTTGGACAGTGTAGAATAATGTACTGAAATAAATCACCCAGAGAAAAACGAATGGTAAAAAAGATATGTTCAAAACGTTCGGTCATAGCTGCTACTAACAATACCCCAAAGTTAAAAGCATCCCTCAACCCTTGTATAAGAGAAGCTGTAGTTTTATGTGCTGTGAGTCAACTCACCTGACCAGGCCTTGCTTTAAAGTTTTCTTTCCTCATTCGTAGTTCAAGGACATTAGAGGGATGGCTTATCACTGAAGTTATCGTGACTGGTTTATAACTGCGGATATAGCGGTAGAGTCTTTCTGCACAATATAAGCACAAAGGTCCAGAAATCCAAAGCCAAGTCTGCAGAAGAAAAACAAAAATATTACTCCAAGGAATATTTTTCTTTTTTGATTTCAAAATAACATGACTCCTTACACAGCCTAGTTCTACCATCCTTATGTTGACTAATGTCTTAGGCATCTGAAATACAGGCACTACACATATAACTACAGGCTGCAGTGAAAGGCCGGCTGTGTCCACACGTGCCACTGCCGTGTGTAGATCAAAATATGGGGATTAGACTAGATAACCCTCGCGTTTTACCTTATGGTTCTGTGATTCTCCATGTCACGTGAAAGGCTCCAATGAGGCAGTAAGACACTACACTGTTAAAAATAGCAGGGTAGTCACGGGAGGCACTGCTTGGGCATGTAGAGAGCCATGTAGAGTATATACCCTGGGGGTTCAGGCAGGTCGGGCACTCTACACTACTCTACTCGCCTCAGCATGCTAGCTGAGCATGCAATGTCTGTACTCTGACATGCCGCCATAAATGTAGACATTGCTTTACTTTGCAAGTAGTCCCAATGGAGGAGAAGGAGGTGACTGCCCTAAACACTAAGCTACAGAGTCATTCTAAATCTTTCTCTGGCCCAATTAATATTGAATTATTCAGTTCTTTAATTAAAGTGGAACAACTTCAGTAGGAGAGATTCTCACATCAGCATGTTCCATAGCCCAGCAGTTAGAGCACTCGTCTGAGAAGTGCTAGAGCCCTGTTCAAATCCCTTCTCCTCATCAGGCAGAGGGGAGCTTGAATCACAGGTTTCTCACATCCCAGGCGAATACCCTTACCACTAAATTCAAAGTTATAAAGGAAGTTCTCCTTCCCTTCTTCACCCCAGCTGTTTTGTATGGACTTGCCTCTGAGCTCAGCGATTGAACTGGGCCTGGCACACAACATAGGTGTTCATCTGCATACCTTCTCTGGTTTGTGAATTGCTCTGGGGCTTAGGCAGGAGATAGGCACCCGGACATCTAGAGGGAGGCAGCAGTACGTGTGCCCAGAGGCAGAAACACAGATGCTGAGGGAACTTTTACAGCAAAAAACGTAGCCACCGAGTGAATTTAGGTGCCTACGGTGTTCAGCAGGAGTTTCGTGGATTGAAGTGGAGCACAAACTGGGACTTAGGTGCCTACATCTTGGGTTTAGGTATCTAAGTAATTTTGTGAATCTTACCCTCACAGTCTAAATAGACAAAGGGTGGGAGATAGGAAGCATTCTTAGTCCCAGTTTACAGATGGGATTTGGCCACAGGGAGATTAAGTGACTTGCCCACGGTCACACAGTGTGTGCCTACACAGTCTGCGGCAGCCAGCCTCCCAGCCTGGTTCAACAGACTTGGGCTAGCGGGGCTCACGGTGCTGCCCTAAAAATAGCTGTGTAGACATTGTGGCTCAGACTGGAACTCGGGATGTGAAGCTGGGGGGCGGAGGGGGCTTCAGAGCTCAAGCTCCAGCCCACACCACAACTTCAAAGTGCCATCTATACAGCTATTTTTAAAATGGTAGCACGAACCCCACAAGCCCCAGGCTGTCAACCTGGGCTGGGGGGCTTGGTGCCGCTACCTGTGTAGACATCCCTTAGGGAGCCCTTGGCAGAGGTATGGACTAAATCCAGCTCTGCTGTGTACCAGTCAGGGCCTAAGCTACACGTCCACCCTTCCTCTCTGATTTTCACACTCAAAATACCAGCATTTCTCACAAGTTGCAGAGCTTGTATGGTCCACAGGCATCTACAGCCTTAGCAAGTCTAATAGCTCACAGAGCTTAGAAATGCAGCAGACTTCTTTAGCCCTAGTAGCTCTCACAGCATAAGGCACTTCTAAGTCCAGCCAGCTTCCCCTGGCTACACAGATAATAATGTCACCTGGCGCCAAATATAATACACAGATTATAATTATATTAACTCATCTCCCAGAGCGGACTCTGTTTGGATGCCCTGAAGGACACATGGAGCAGAGACAGGGTGATACAAGTAAACCTGGTGCATCAGATTCATTTCCATTTGAATATTAGCGCGCCGACTGAAAGAATTGAAAAGAGTTCACCAGACATATTGGCCTGGAGGCACACGGACCCATTCTAAAGCAGCATTTCCCAGTGTGTCTCCTTACACCTGCATGGAGTCCCCTTGACTTCAGGGGTGAAGCTTTTTGCAAGACCAGGGACTATGCCTGCTCTGCAAGAACTGGGCAGCAAACAATATAAAGGATCCTTAACAAATACTGGAGATGTGGCCAGCCTTAAGATGCTTTCCAATGCTGCTTCTGCCTCTATCACATTTCCAGGCTCCCGCTGCTCTCTCTGTCTTCCAGGCATCACCATCTTCCAGCTAGACTACTGCAGCCTCCTCCTCTACAGCCTGCCTGGCACCCACCTCCCCCACCTCTGCACTCAGGTTCTTTTCAAACACTGCAGCTAAAATAATCTCTCCTGGCCCATCATTCTGAACACGTCACCCCCCTCCCCGAACCCTTCCAATAGCTCCCTGTTCTCCACTGCATCCAATCCAAGCTTATTGTAATCACCTTTAGGACTTTTCCCACCTCTCCCATTTCCACTTTCACTCATGTATCTCATCCCATCTCCCCCTCCACTCTGCCTACAATACCAGCCTCAATCACTCCTTTGCCTTCTTCTCCAAAAGGACCATTTCATAGATTCCAAGGCCAGAAGGGACCACTGTGATCATCTAATTTCACCTCCTGCAGGGCCGGCTTTAGGCCAATTCAACCAATTCCCCTGAATCGGGCCCCGCGCCCAAGCCCCGGTACGGCGTACCGGCAAGAGCCGGTGCGCCGTACCGGGGTGGCCCGACTTCCCCAGGGGGCAATTTAAAGGGCCCAGGCCCTTTAAATTGCCACCAGAGCCCCACTGCTGGAGCCCTGGGGTAGGGCTGCGGGGCTCTGAGGGCTATTTAAAAAGTCCGGGGCTCCCGCTGCCTCTACCGCCCCGGCCCTTTAAATAGCCGCCGGAGCCCCACTGCTTCCCCAGGGCTCCCGCGGCTATTTAAAGGGCCGGGGCAGTAGAAGGAGGGGAGCCCCGGGCCCTTTAAATAGCCCCCAGAGCCCTGGGATAGTGGGAGACTTGGGGGCTATTTAATGGGCTGGGGCTCCAGCTGCCTCTGCTGCATCCCCTGCCTGCACCAGCCCCACACCCCCTGCCCTGCCCACAGCCAGCCCCTGTCTCCAGCCAGCCCTGCACCCCCTGCCCGCAGCCAGCCCCTGCTGCACCCCCCGCCCTGCCTCCAGCCCTGCACCCCCTGCCCTGCCCGCACCAGTCCCACCCCCCCTGCCCTGCCCACAGCCAGCCCCTGCCACACCCCCTGCCCACAGCCAACCCCTGCCGCACCCTCTGCCCTATATCCTGCCAACCCCTGCCGCACCCCCCTGCGGCCCTGCCCGAAGCCAGCCAGCCTCTCACACACCCCTGCCCGCACCAGCCCTGCACCCCCTGCCCTGTCTCCAGCCAACCCCTGCCACACTCCCCTGCCTGAAGCCAGCCAGTCCCACACTCCTCTGTCTCTAGCCCTGCCAACCCCTGCCACCAGGGCCGGCTCTTGGTTTTTTGCCGCCCCAAGCAAAAACATTTTTGGCTACCCCCAACCCCAGCCCTGGGCTCTCACCACC